GATTGTTATTTTGCTCAAATATGCCATGGGTGTGGGATTTCTTGGAGGGTATCCAGCGTGCCCAATAATAGTTCACCCTTGTTTGGTTCACAAATGTGCAATGTGAAACGAGTGAGGGTCTAAATCTAGCAAATCCATAGAAAATTCACTAATCAGAAGAAATGCCAAACGAAGACCACGTCACCAGACTTGGATTTGATACTTAATCTTTTTGAAAAAATTAGGAACTCCTGACTCGTGCCAAATGAAGGCACAGTCAAAATGTCTAGGCTTAGGAACTTAGGTATGGACGAGAAAGTCATGAATTGAGCACCTATGCTCACCCAATCAATAGAACAACCTCTACTAATTATTGATATGAGATTTATTACTAAAATATGCTCATGTTCTAAATATGCTCATGGAAATGCCAACAGGTTGTACCCTCTTCTAGTGTGGTAGCACAGTTGAGCTATTTTCCCTCCTCGAACTGTGAGACACTGATAGGTTGTACCCTTACTCTTGTGGCAAAATCTTTGAGCCATTTTCCCTTCTTGAAATGTGAGACACTGTTATACCCACCATTTCGTGTGGTAGCATGTCTTGGGTTGCACTCTTGATTTCCCCTTGATCAACAGGTAGGTTGAGATTGGAGTTCTCAGCATTTGCTCACATACTCACTCCCCCGTTTTATCCCCTCGCGAGAAACACGTTTGGATTGTTTCCCTTCTTTGAAACATGGAAATGCTGATTGTTGTACCCTCACTCATGTAGCAGCATGTTTAAGTCATTTTACCTCCTTAAAGTGTGAGACACTGACAGGTTATACCCCCCACTCACGTGGAAACATTTTTGGCACACACCCCAAGGTTTGCCTTTACCATCTACTAGGTTGGGATCGAAGTTCACTATTGTGATGATTGTCTGTAGGGATTTAAGAAAAATTGAAAAAAATAGATCATACCAATTGAATCGGACTAAATCGATTATATTTGATCTGTTTTTTAATAAGAATCGCTCTGTGTAACTTTTAAATTTGATTTTTTTTTATTTTCAGTTTAGTATTGATTCAAACATCTTGTGCACTAAACTATACCGAAAATCAACCGCTTCAACATATATTGTATTTATAATATATATAATCTAATAATATGATGATATTAATAAGTATAATAAATTATTAACCTTAATTAATTAACATTTTCATCTTTATAACCTTAATTTGTAAACTCTTATTATATATAATTTTGATTCTAACTCATTATTCATGAAATCTTAGCATTTTTTAACTATTTTTTGCTTTTATTTTTGTTAATCTAGGAATTGAAAGTAATTATTAAATGGACGAATTATATATGTTTGAAATGGTGGACAAATAACTAATTTAATATTTTTATATAAATTAGTGATTATATTTAAAAGTGACTCAAGTTTGAAAAATCTTAAACCGATTAAACCGCACCGAACTAAATTATTTTAATTAGTTCGGTTCAATATGATTTGATGGAACAAGCAATTTGTATCAGTATTCAAAATAATAAAACTCACATTATCAATTCGGTAAATTTTTTTACTTAAATATTGACCATATCAAACCGATTATATCCTTAATTGCCGATCATATGCAAGTTTTTTGAGGATGTTCCTGTCATGTCCCCTCATGTGAAGCGTTTGGATTGCTTTCCTCTACTCATGCGAAGCACGTTGAATTGTTTTTCCTTCTTGCACGCCCATCCGCAAAACGTGAAAGTAGTGGCTCCAAGTTTGATTGTTGATTATTTTGATCACTTAGCCTATGCGAAAAAAAGGGAAAAATATCTATACAAGACTATTTGATCGAATTTTCAACAAGCTTGTGTGTTATATATGATTATGAGGAGAATATGAATCAATCAAAGTTGACTTGCTCCTCCGAGAGAATGGTTGCGCTTATAGTAATTAAAAAATAAATAAAAAATTTATTGGAAGGTCTCAAACATGTCTTTCAACTTGTTTGGAATGAGTGATGGTTTGAGAAGAAAAGAAAGAAATGCGTCTCTCTTAGGCCCGTTTGTTTTGAAAGGTAGAATGGAAGAAATTGATAGTGAGGAGATTAAGTAAAATTGTATTTATTTTGATGATAGTTGTTAGTGTAGAGATTATTAAATTATTTTTATATAAAATAATAAAACAAATAAAAAAAATACAAAAATATTAAACATTAAACATTAATGTTTTAAAAAAAAATGCCCAACATGTAAAAAAATTAAAAAATAAAAATAAAATAAAAAAATTTCAGGAAAAAATAAAACAAATAAAATAATGATTTTTACTTACAAAAAAAATAAAAAATTAAATATAATGTTCAAAAAAAAATGTCCGACATGTAAAAAATAAAATAAAAAATTTCTAGTCCGCCGGATTATTTTTTTAATACCAAATCTTTGAGGCCCATCCGAATCTCCTTGGGGAGGCTCATCCTAATCCGGAGTTCATTATCAATCCCCTCCTCATCTCTCAAAACAAACACAACATTACTGAATCACACCTCACTACCAATCTCAATCCCCCCTCTAACTCTCCAAACAAACGGGGCCTTAGTCCATATAACTTGTTTTGGGTAAATAAAGAACAGAAAAATTGAGTGAAGGAGAAAAAAACTCATTTAACTCTTATTTTCAATCACTTCAAAAGTAGAGAGATTGAGAACAAAAAATAAATAAAATAAAAATGACACATTATTGTTATTTTTATAAGAATAATGTTATATGTATCAATTGGTATACTAATTAATGTATCAATTGATGAGATGACATAATTTAAGAAATTTTTGATATTGGTAATATAATTAATGAGTGGAATCAATAATAATGTCATAACTAATATTAATACACTAGTTAGTATACTAATTGGTGCATGTAATATTACTATTTTTGTAATACCAAAACTATTTTAGATATAAAAAGAACCAAAAAACAAAACCTGTAAAAGGATTATTTTAATAATATAACATGAAATAAATTTTTTTGAACAAATTACACTAAATATCCTTGTAATTTGAAACTTACGTCACTTTGATCCATGACTTTTCAATTGTGATACATTTAGGCATCGTTTGGGAACAGACTAATTTAGTAACTTTTTGACTGTTTTGCTAAAATATGAGCTAAAAAAAACTAGTATGTTTGGGATGACTTTTTGAATTTTTACGAAAAAATGTGCAAAAAGTAGAGAAAAAAGAATCTTTGACTTTTTTGTATGATTTGTTGATTTTTTAACTAATTTAGTAACTTTTTGACTAAACGAAAAGATTCCCAAACGAGGCCTCTTAAATTTTGAATCTTCTTCTACATAAGAACAATAAAAAATGTTTCATTTGTAAACGATTCATTTCAAAGACTCATATAACTTATTTTGTGAATAATGTTAGAACATTCTTAACTATAAAGTTTTGTTTAATTTAATTTTCAAAATCTATTTTCAGAAATTTTTTCTAATAAACTACAAATTAAATTGTTAAAAAAAAAATTAAAAACACATCATTTTTATTTAATTTTATCTTTTGGAATGATAGAAATAATTTTTTTTGATATTTATTTTCAGTGAATTAGTTTTTATTTTTTCAAAACTCAAATATAGTGACAATTTTGATTTCATTATTAAACCAATCCTTTAAATTCAAAAATTCCAAACTAAAAATATTTCATATATTAAATCTATCAATTACACATTAAAAACCTAATAGCCATTCATTGCACGAAAACCATCTAAAAATATTTGTTAAGAACAAATACAACCATCTATTAAATGATCATCCAAAAATATCAACCAAAAAAATCACCCATTACATATTCATTATCTAAACATACACTACAAAAAGATTTATTATTTTTATATAATTTTATCTGTGACGGGTAAAAATAATTTTAAAAAATTTAAAAATAATTTTTTAATATTTATTTTTAACAAACTAGTTTATATTTTATTAAATTACCAACTTTATCCTTAAAATAGAATAACAATGTCTTCAATTGTCTTTAATTGAAACGAAATTCAAAACTCAAGATCAAATATATCACAATTAAAAAGTTACACAAACTCCAAACTATAGGATCTTTACTATAACTCATCCTTCTTTTTTTAAACCAAACAAAATAAGAAATTTTTTTCTTTTCTTCTTGCTTCTATTTATCCAAACAAAAGGAACTCTTTTTCTTATATACGAAGATCATCGTCATCAAGAAAAAGTGTTATTTTACCTCGCTAGTTTTAGGTACAAACATAAGATTTAGGAGTTATTTGAGATGACCTAAATAAGTGCATTTTTTGTCGTTTTACGAAAAGATGTGCAGAAAAGTAGAGAGATGTGATGAAAAAAAGATAAAAAGATAAAAAATGTGTACTTATTTAAGATAGCCAAACTTGGCCTTAGTTTGGTTTGATTGAATCAGACAGATTTTTTTTTTTCTTTATTTCTTTGAGAGAGAGAGAGAGAGGAGGAGGAGGAAGAAGATTATACTGAGGAACAGAACAATATGTAATGGTTAAAGAGAAGAAACTTGATTGCAAGAATTACAATGGGAGGCACAAAAATAAGACTGGATCAGATGTCAAACATTAAATTTCTTATGCTGTATTTAATTCATAAATTTGGATGGGAATTTAGAAAAGAAAAGAAAAAATGTGAGTAAAATCTGAATAAAAGCTACATTTCATACACTCGTACACTTTTTTCTCTTTTTCTTTTCAAATTCTTACTCAAATTCATAATCCAAACACAATCTTAGAAATTCACAGTATCAAAGTGATCTGATATACACTAAGGCCATGTTTGTTTAGGCGAACTGGATTAGCATTCTCATGACTAATAGTCTTAGGACTACGAATCCGTTGGATTATGTATCCTATCTTAACTAATAGTCAAGTTTAAAATAATTAGTCCGTACTTCAATTGTTTAACCAAATATCGAATTAATAATTTTATTGGACTATTAGTCCAATCCCAAGCTCATGTCCACCCAAACAAACATGGCCTAAGGTCATTAAAACAAGTGATAATATATATAAACATATAAAAGGGAAAACATATATTATTATCCCACCACAAATCAACAGTTGCTTGAAAGGGGAACCATAAAACAATATATATATATATATATAACTTTTGTCACTCTAGCTTGTCAACTTCAATTTCATATTGTTCACCAGATGAAAGGATTTTTACACTAACCATACCTTTTTGCCACTCAGAATTTCCCACCAATACAAGCCTCCGGGCATTTATCCGCGCTGCCCGTTTGAACACCCTACCAAAGGAGGATCATAAAGATATATATATATATATAAGCGAATACTTATTAGGAAACATGTAATATTGATTGATGCAAAACCTTCTAAACATTGGAAAGATGAAATTATGTACCATTTAAGTGGTTTGTTCTCCAACACCAAATCAACACTTTGGCCTTTTCCCCTGAGAATGGTAGCAACAGCAGCAGCTGCATCTTGAAGATCAGGATCCAGATGGCACACAATGTTCTCTACTTGCTCACCCATTTCTGGAATAAGCCCTTTCTCCTTGAGCAGCTAACCATTATTAACCAGAAGGAAAAAATTGTAAGATTTTTTTAAAAAAACTGAACAATAACATTAAAAAATTTCAAAATGAAAGGTATCCTCAAAAAAGGCCTCATGCATTGTTGCTAGTAACAGAACTCATTCGCTGATTTGAGTAAATATCGGTAACACAAAATTACATTGTTTAATACATTTTCAAATTTACGCCAATGTAGAAAAACAACCATTGAACAAGACAGACAAAAGATGAAGTTATCATATCCACTTGACTTTCAATAGCACACGCTACTTGTTAACTTGTAAGGCTGCCCATCTATCCCACCAAAGATTTTGCCTAGTCACTGGTTCAGAATCTCAAGTTTTCCTATAAATTCTAAAATCAAAACAAGTTAGAACTGCATAATTTTCAACTATTCCCTCTTCATAAAAATGTAGGTTAAGATACAGCTCCGTGTGTATGCCAAGTAACGTATGTGCAAGGTGTGCAGCACTAACTTATGCTATTCTTCTCTTATAAAGTAGTCAACTTGACATCATGATATAATATGCTGAAAGAGAATCTTGACCAAGTTTTAAATATGGTTCATATGAATCACAAATACATAGAGGTTCATTACAATAATATTGAAGTTCAATAATTTTCAACAAGCACGCACACATATATATTTAAATGTATTACGTATATACATGTTTATGTACAGAATGGATTAAATGTAAAAGTCCTATGGCAAACATTGAATAAGAATAAAAGGCTTCAACTCACTTCTATAATTACTGCATCACCGAATCCAAAGCCACAGGCAGGAATGTCGTCACCCCCAAAAGTAGAGAGTAATCGGTCATACCGCCCACCGCCACAAATGGCTCGCAGCTTCCCTTCTCTATCAAATCCCTTTGAAAATGATAACATTAGTAGGGAAAAGAAAAAACGAAACAAAAAAAAACAAAAATTTTCACAATCATGACCGAGTTATACAATGTGTTTATACACACTTTCATCTTTGTGAATAAAAGAAATCTTACTAGCACATATATCTATTTTCTTCCCCTTTAGAAGCATTTTCAAATCAGCATAGCATCTTGAAAGCAAACTGTCATTATTATGTTATTTTATTTTATATTGAGGGTTTTATTGTCATAGTGACAATAATGTTTCAATATAAATATGTGTTAGGTGAGGGTTTTCATTATGACCCAATAACCTATTTTCTATATTCTCTTTTCTCCTCCTCTCTTTCCTCTCCAACCTAACCCCAATTTCATGAACTTTACACTTTAACTTGGTATTAGAGCACTTCGATCTTACAATAACTTGTCTTGTTGAAGTCTGAAATTTTTCACACGGTGACCTAGACGTGCTGACATCATGTTCCGTATGATGATGTCATCATGACGTCAGCATGTGTGCGGACATCAAGTTAGTTTGTTCAGGTCAAAAAAATGGCAACATTATTCATATGTTGGGCACCTTAGTTCTAAACAAATGAATTTTGCTCGGACCTGTTCTATAGATCGCATTTTTAAATTTAATCTGTATTGTTATGTATTTCAGGGTGTTGACAAACATTCTTTTCAACTTCCATGGAAGTTTGAAACCCAAATGCCAACTAGCAAAGCCTCTAATGGCTATTTTTTTAAATACCCATCTCAAATCTTGCAAGGAAGAGTGAGAGGAAGATGAGTTTTAGATCAAGAACTCTAGAGAGAAAAAGAATTGTAAAGAGCAAGAGAGATACCACTGTGAGAGTGAGAAACATGATCGACAGGGAGATATCCCCATGGTAAACTTTAGATTTGAACTTCTAGGCTTTTGGGAGATGAATGATTTTTAGAAAGATAATTTTGGTAGGGTGTGCTAAGAGGTGTGCATTTTAGTGGGTGTGAAGTTTCTAGAATAATAATTTTGGTATTATTTGGGGGAAGGAGAGAAATTTTAAGGGTTTTGAAATTTATAAGCATGGTCAAAGAAATGAGGGGTCCAAAGTAAGACTATTGAGTTTACATTATGTGAATTTATGATTTGGCCATGGGCCCCAATATTTTTATTGAAATATGACTGGGCCATGGCCGCTATTTGTTAGGCCAATAGGCTAGTATGGCCCGGTAAGCTTTGCATGGACCACAATGCCGCCTACTAGTTAGAGTCCGGGAACCTGGACATGGTATTAGGAAACTAGGACTCCTTGAGTATTTGGCTGATATGTCTTCGAGGAGCACCGAATGTGTAGGACCTATAGTAGACATTGATATTTGAGATATCAGATAAATATTGTATTGTACTATATCATTTTGTGTGCATTTTGCATATTGTTGGATTTCAGTTATTTGCTTTTTACTTGGACTAATCTGCCTGGATTATTGAATTGTGCCGTTTTGGTCTGCAAAGACCTTTTAAAAGCACATTTTTGGCAAACCAACAACTTTGCAAAGTTTATACAGACTTTGTAAAGCCCAAAGGCCATTCCGCAGTTGTTTTGGGCCCCTTTTCTTCATTTTGGGGAACTTAAAGATAAGTCCCATACACAAAGTTCAAAACTCATCTAGTCCCAAAACAAAACACTCGAACTAATGAGTCCTATATATTTTTAATTGTTACCAAAAAATTTATATATTTTTTTTTAATTTAAAGATGCTGCTACATCCCACCACTGCCAGACTTTTGTTGGACAGTCATCGGAGACTCGTCGGAATGTTCAACATAATCGGGAAATCACCGAAATATCACCAGAAATTTGCCAAATTGTCGCCGGAATATTTTGAACTTCACCGGAAGTCGTCGGAATGTCTAAAATGTTCACTGAACATCAAAAATATTGCTAGAGACTTACCAGAATATCCAGAATATTACTTAAAAAAAGGAATAAACTGAGAAATTAAAGCGAAAAAACATAGCAAGATGTGCTAAATATTGATAAATTGAAAGGAAAAAAAAAAAAACCTAAGAACAACAAAGAGCAACAATGGAAAAAAACGTATGTTATTTTTAATTTTTGTAAGATTTAAGCAAATAATTTTCAATATTGATTAAATGAAAAGTAAGCTTTGAAACTGTAAAATGTTACAGTTTCAAAATATAATTCTATCAAGTATTTATCCTTATTAATCAAACTGAAAAACATGTTACAAAACTGCATAATTTTACAGTTCAAAAGAAAGTTATGAAACTACAAAATTTTACAGTTATAAAGAATGATTCATTTCAACACCAAAAAACTAAAACTGTAAAATTTTACAGTTTTTACCTCCTGTAATTAAAATTCGAAAACAACTTGTTCAGAACTTGAAAATTTTTTATATTATAATAGGAAAATAGAAGTGTGTAGCACAAAAAAAGTAAAAAAATTGACAGATCGAAAGAAAGAGACAAATATAGAGAGATGCTTGTATTCTGGCAACTATTTTTGGTTTAGATCTAGCGTAGATCTACTCAGATCTGATGTAATCAGATTTGAGTTGATCTAATCATTTTCTTCGTCAGAAACTCATCCCTTTCGCCGTCGGTGACCACGAACCAAAGAGTTGGTACTCGATGGTTGCTGGTGAATCCCAATCAATGGTGGTCACCAGTCGCCGATGACTATAGATTAGAAAAAGAAAGAAAAAAGGAAGGCGTGGTCGTGGTTGTCGCCGATATCAGAGAAATAGAGATAAAGAGAAGAAACAAGGTGGGGAAAGAGAAGATAAATGGGCATAGGACTTTTGGGTCTATTTAAAAGGTTTTGGGATTAAATAGAATATACACTTTTCAAAAAGGACTTGTGGGTAATTTGCCCCTTTATTTTTATATACAGAGCAGATTTGAATACGTTTCCCAAGACAAGAAGGAAATAAAGATTGGAAATGGGGCTAAGTAATTAATAAGGCAAAACAATGGTTTTTGGGTAACAAACTATGCCTAGGTTAATTAAATCTTCTGCCTAATTAATTTTTAAAAATCAGGCCGCAACAATTCAACTCACATGCAGCAACTTTCTACCACGAAGAGGCTTAATTTACCATTTTATTAAATAATATCCTACAGAATTTATATTTAAATTCTTATTAGTATTAGTTTTCTATTTTATTAGAGTTGTTTTGTCCACAAATAAGAGGCTTGCCATTGTATTAAACAGACTTGAAGCCTTTGTATGATTATGGCTATCGCCTTTGCATGTTTTCTCACCCACTCTCTCTAATGTTCGCCATCCCCATTCTACATCACTAGCATAAAGACAACCATTTATACAAGAAATTCAGGGTAATCATCTGCAGGCTTTTTCAACCATGTTAAAATTGCCATATTCACTCTTGGAAACCAGTCCTATCTACAATTCAATAATTGAATCTGGTCATGCATGGCGGTATCACAGTTGCCCAGATCTCATTACCACCCCAAAAGTGGCCTTGCCAGGTAACAACAACAGCCTCCTCCGCTAGCTATCATGCCATAAAGACTGGCGCAAATTAACAAGTGAAATAAAGGTCCCATAAGCAGGAACAGGGTTCAAAATTGATTTTTTATTTTTTTATTTATTTCTTTTCCCAATTTTTCTTAAGTAAAAGATCCATTAAAGGGAACCACAATCTCAGCTCCTTTTTCTAATATGGAATTTCAAATTGTCCAGGCAAAAGAAGTACTTAATTAATTTACAAATCTAACCTCAAATACTGTTCCAGTATAATATGCTAGACCACGGACAACAGATGCATCAAACTGAATCCACTCAGAGTATCCAAACTTTTCAGCGAGTGAAAATAGTCGTTTCAGATCAGCAACTGCTTCCCCTGCTGCTCCAAGTTTCTCTACATATAGCAAATGTGGTATTCTTAGTGAATATCAAAGCAGCACAATAACCACTTAAGAGGAAATTTAAAAAGAAATGATTTAGAAGACACAAATAGTAATTGCTCCTTGAGATCTCCAGGACACTAGTCATCATTCTACGACTCACGCCAACGGTGTTATATCATTGGTTATATCATTGTGGCTTGATGCACTTTTTATTCCAAACTTATGTTTAATAATTACATTTCGCAAAAGTGAAAGAATCTTAATTAGTTAAATCTATATCTTCAAACAAACAAATTACAAATAAAATTATCAGAATGAAGATAATGTTGCAAAGCACTGTGAGGATTTTAGAACTAAATTTCTGTGGCTTTTGATTTTGGGTTAAGGCTCAAAATCAGTGGGAATTTTAGGGTTTTAATTAACATATGGAATGAACTAGGTTTAGGGTCGATAAAGTGGGGGAAAGGAGATCAAAACAAAGCTGTTCAGGAGCTTTGAATAGTACCTCATGAACAGTAAATTGAAAAGAAAAGAAAGAAGAAACATCTAAGCATCGCATGTAGATTCCATAGGTATGACACAATCCATAAGAAAGCTTCAAAACTGTTGAAATTCTCTCAAATATCAACTTTAATAAATTAGATAAATTACATGACTATATATAGACCTTACAGATTTCCTTCACTAACTAGGATTCCAAAATAGGTAACTACTAAACTTTTAGACATCCAAAACCTATCTAAGACCAAAGAAAACTCATAAATAAATATCAATTAAACAACATAACCCACAAGCCAAACCGTGGGCGCACGCACAATCCATGTCCAAAAATTCTGCAAATTACCAAAATACCCCTAACCATAAAAACCGATTAGCAACTTTCTTAACCTAAAATAAACAAAAATACTCTTCTAAGACTAGAAATATAATAGATGGTTTCAATGGATCCCAATTGAATTCGGCTTGAAACCAAACAGTTTCCAAACACGAATGCTTCCTTAATTTTAGTTCTCCTAGCTCCTATTATGGACTGCATCAGAAGATTAACTGCAAAATTTAAAAATTTTAAAAATTCAAACAAATATAAAAAATAAAAACAAAAAAACAAAAGGACCAAATAGCAAAGGAAATTTTTTGAGAAATTGGTACAAATGCAGTGTCCGCAACAGCAAGCAAGTCAATTTCAAGAGATTTAACCCCAAGTTTATCAATTCAACTCCAGGAGGGGGTGATTGCTGCATGGGCAACTATATCTGCCACATACTGATGAGATTCTCAGGCCCAAGGAATAAAGGATTTCCACGAGCACAAGGAATTGATCATTAGAGGAGTTCTTTTTCTCTTTTTCTTTTTTAACTTCTGCTCTATAAAACCAAGCCTAAAAAACTTTTGATTCCAGCAACATAAGTCCTGTTCCACCAGTCGAAACACTGAAGTCAATAACTTTTATTATATCACGAATTATATAGGTCATTTCCAAAACTCCAAGTACCCCAAGAAGATGTATCCATGTTGCATCACTCCTTTTCTCCTAGAACAAAATCACCTTTGTTAATGTAAAGAGTCCACACCAATGAAGCACACATACTTCTAAAAGCAGTCATATCCATATCATACATGTATCAAATACAGATACTCCTTGGATTCTCACACTGACAGCCGATATTAGAATCATATCTAATACTTGAGAAATTATATATATTTTTAATCAAGGTCATACATTTGAATTATTATGAATTTGAGATTGTAATAATTTTTGCATAGTGTTAGTATAATTATTAGTATAAATCCAATAATATTTTTCAATAATTTGTTAACATCCTCGAGAACAGGAAAATAGTGAGATTGAAGTGGCAACCTGCTTTTATAGAATTTATCAAACTGACGAATACTTAATGTGTCAAACATGTGTCTCATCCATATTCATAGTTTATACAAAATAAGAATAAAATATATATATATATTGAAATAATTAAACAAGAAAATAAACAGCATATAACACTTTCAAGTGTGAAAGGGTTGCATAAAGGCAATATAATCAATTTAAACTTTATATTGAAATGAAATTCTTACACAATCCATTAAGAAACAGAGAGAGAGACACACACACAATATACATGTGTCTCATCCATATTGAAATGAAATTCTTACACGATCCATTGCTCAGGAAATTCTTACATGACTTTCCTTGTCCTTTCTCACCGTATGTTCACTTTTCCTGTATCACCCCCCCCCCCTCTCTCTCTCTCTCTCTCTCTCTTCCCTCTTTAATACCCCCTCCCCCCTCTCTACCAAATTCAGTTCATCATACTTCATCTTATATCAATCAGTTTCAATGGAGAAGATCATGTAGGCCTCGATGCATCTGCCCAGGCTCATCCACAAAACCTCCATTTCAACAAATAGCGCTACTTAGCCCAAAAATAAGTTCTTGATTTCTCAATATTTCCCTCAAAGATATGCATGGATGATTTTGTGCTACCTTACATGACAAAATTGGGAACACGTGACAACTAGCTTGGCATGGGGTCATGTGTAAAACAAAGTGAGGAATAATTAACATATACCTTTCACCGTAATAAGAATCAAACATATTGGAATTTGAGAAGTGAACTTAGGCGTGGTTATTCCAAAATGCACAATTTTTTTGGGAGCTTGAGAGGGCTTATGTGGGCTCAAGCGCAAGGTGTTGATTTTACGAGGTTTATTAAGTTAGTTTAACACATGGGGACGAGCTAAAGAAGTCTTTAAGTCATTCTAGGACACCTCAACTATAAATAGGGGCCTTGGGTGAAGACCAAAACATGCTTGGAATGCATTCGATATTTGAGCTTTTATACATCATTGCTCACACGTTGGGGATTGCCTTGGTGAATTCCGAAGGTGGTTTGGTGGATCGTGTTCAATTCGTGGTGGATTCTAGAAGTATCATAGATTCAACACTCAACCATCAATTGAAGACGAAGATCATGGATTCAATCACTACAAGGAGCACACCCAAAACTTCGTGGACTTGACATTGTGGATTTGGTTTGGGTTGGGTTGGGTTGGGTTGTAAGTTGCAACTTGTATTTTATTCTTTAGAGTAAATTGGTTGGTTGGATTAGGTCCTCTGATTTTTCACAGTAGGGCTTTCCGTGTTAATCACAAGCCTTTTTTTTTTGTGTGTGTGAGAAAGAGAGACAGATAGAGATTGATTTACTCTATTGCTTGCGATTTTATTTAGCTAATTAATCTAATTGGCAATAACTCTAAGCAAATTCATTAAGGTGAATCAGCCCAGGAATTTTCATCCTTTATCTTTCCAAAGCGGAGTCTTGGAAACATGCCACATGCTAGCTCATAGTGATAGTAATAGTGACAGTGATATTGACACTATTATATATGATTAAATCACCTCAACTGCCTTCATTTGTCATCTCAACAATTCTCAAGTTCTTTAATCAACCAAATTTTGCAGAAGAGATTCCACAAGTAACAAAAATTCCTCTCACCAAAACTTCTTCGTCATGCAAATAACTTTTACTAGCTTAACTAACACAAGGTGGTTGTGATGATATTCGGACATTGGCATCATTCCAAAGAGAAACTAATAGGAATCTTGTATAATTATATTTATAGTATTATTATAGTCTTATTTTATGATTATTTTTATATTTTCTAGGATTTTTAGGTCAGTGGTATTTTGGTAATTTTCATATTTGCTAACAGGTTGTAAGGATCGCCCATGGATTGTCTTATGGGTCAAGCTATTTAATTGGTTTTTATTTATGTTTCTTATTTAATCTTAAATTGGTTTGAAAGTCAAAGTAATTTTAATAGTTTCCTTTTTTGGTTCTAGTTGGTTTAGAAAGACTCCTAGTTCTATATAAAGCCATGCTTATATTTTAATAAAATTTATATTTTATAGAATTTTCAGAGCTTTGAAACCTCTTTGGGTTTGTATGATGCAAACCTAACTGTGACAACCCCGACCTCTGTATTATTTTTATATATTATTTTATTGAGCACATTTGCATGATTATGTGCTTAATTGATGCTTATGTGTTTGTTTGTGAATTATCTGTTAGAATACCAACTTAGAATTTGAAATTGAAAGCCCAAACAAATTCAGAAACCGAAATTGATTAATTTCAATGGGCTAGTTGGAATATTTAAAACCATATGGTAAGTTTAATTAAAATTTGATTCGGATCAAAATAATTAGAATAAATTAATCACAATTGATTAGACTTGAGCACCATTAATTAGCCAAATCCCACTTGATTAGTTAAGACTAATCCACCTCTATATATATATATGTTAATCATGCTTAAGACTTCATTTTTCTACAACTTTTGAGCTGAAAATTGAGAGAGGAGACGAGAGCTCAACACTTTAGAGCGAGAAAGAAAGAATTCAAGGGAATTCAAGAGAGATTGAAGGGATTAAGCTAATCTAAGGCCAAATTCAAGCTCTATGTATGATCCTTACCTTTAATTCATGAAGATAATCCATGTAGGAAAATGAATTCACCAAGATGTAAGACCATTTGCATGAATTTGAAAGAAAAGAGTTAGAATCACCATGAGTGTAGTGAGTTTGAGTGAATTGTGTACATGCATGCATAATTCTCCATCTTTGAACATAGTTTTCTACAAATTCATGCATGGGACTTACACATGTCATTTCTTAAAGTTCTTCATGGTTTCATGTCATATAAACATGGTTTGTAAAGAAAGAGTTGAGTTTACTAAATGCATGGCAATAACATAGTATTTTGAACTTTGTTTTGAGGATTTGAAAGAGAATTTGGGATCATGGTTTCATAATTTTCAACAATCCATGTTTTATGAAGAGTTTCTAAGCTTTTGAGACTAACAATGCAAGCTTTGAACAAGAAAGATGTGTTTTTAAGCTTGAAACTCAATTCTGGAAAACCCAAAATTTGCCCAATTCGCTCAAGGGAAGGATCCTTGGCTCGAGCTACCAAGTGTGCGCTCGAGCGAACTCACCTTTGTTCAGCACTTGGCTCGAGCGACCATCAAGCGCACATTTTGAGCAACCAGTACTTTTGCAATCAAGTCACACCGCTCGAGCGACCAAGTGTGTGCTCGAGCGAAGATCCTGTTTTCAGCAAATTTTGTCTGACACTCCTAAATGCATATTTGCATCCTCACGTCCTTTTAGGCATTCTTTAGCATCATTTGATCATCCTTAGTCATGGAATAAGCTAGGAACACACGTAAGAGAATCAAATTAAGATACATTATTTGTTACGAACGTGTTCAATGTGTATTTGTGTTATGTGATTTGTGTAGGTGGTCAACCAAGGTCCACCATCAATACCGGTCCACTGTGAGTAGTATCTCTGTAAAAATATGTTATTAAAGTGTGTTTTGGTTTACCGCAAGATTATTATTTTGAAATGCTATTTTGATACGAATGAATGATTGTCTCTTTTGAAATGTAATTGTGGTATCCTTAGTGTAGCTCTCGCCTGGGGATAACAATACCATGGCCCTTTGCTATAAGACCCTCTCCCAAGGGAAACAATTCCGTGGCCCTTTGCTATAAGGCCCTCGCCCGGGAGAAACAATACCGTGGTCCTTTGTTATATGTGCACAGAGATCTCTAATGTTGACCCAAGTGGTCCCTTCACTTGATTTATATGGTCCCTTCGTTAGACCCATGTGGTTCCTTTGTTACGCCTTCGGGCCCTTTGTTTGCACTATTGGATGTACCACATATGAATATGATTTGTGAACTTTGATACGACAAATACTCACTTATGATTTGCTTCGAACTTATGTGATATGAATAGACATCATTCATTTAACCTCTTTATACTGGTATTACTCACTCGGCTTTAGCTCACCCCCTTCCCCAATATATATGTAGGTGAGCAAATGGAGCGTCAGATAGTGGTAATATATAATATGTAAGTGGCATATAATGGGTTATGATGGTGTTTGTAATATCTCCTATATAAGGAGTGTCATTTGGTCTTGTAAGATAAGAAGTTTTGAATATAACAGAAATATATTCCTTCTTCCTCATATTTTCGGAGTTCTTCTTTTTCATATTTTCTAAGTTATATGTAGGTGAGCAAATGGAGCGTCAAGCTTAGAGCAACCTCAGGAGTCCACCCTTCTATCAAGCCACTTCGAAGTGCCTCCGTGATGGGGCGATCTTGGTCTCATGTTCTTTTGTTTTTGAAACTTCTTGTATGGATATTTTGTGTAAGTGTTAAGATGTTTGACATACTATGAGTTCATATCTATGAAGAAGGTTGAAGTTTTACTTATGAAAATTTCATGTATGCACCGCTCAATGGACATGGTTGTATTTTTATTATTGCTTCTGCAGTGCCCCGTTATTATTTTAATTATAAGTTTTGTTTCTGAGGCCGGAGGTAATCTAGGATTACTAGCCGGTCATGGTCTAAACATCCAAGGGTGGATTCGGGTCGTGACACTAACCTAAGTGTCATGCCTAAGGGATTCTAGGAATGGTTCATGCAACTATTTTCTTCTTTCTTCTTCTTTTCTGTTTCAGTTTACTGTTCACAAGCTACTGTTCACAGCTCCTAAACAGCCCCTCTCCTGATCTCTCTCACCCTGTTTATCAATCCTAAACCTACTTCATTCCAGTCATTAATTGAAATCCTAAAATTCTTATTAATTTTCAGCTTTATGCCACCATAAAAACCCACAGAAATTCAGCTTTAAAGTCCTTACAGCACTGTCCCTAATCATCCTGCATCCAGGAGAGTACTAGTTAGTGACTATATTTACGTCTTAATAAACAATGCTCTCTCCCTCTGCAAGAATAGTTTGCCTCTACAAGTGCAAGGCTTGAAGGACCTAAATGATGTACAAAATATAAGGATACATATGGTTGAACAATACATGTAAGGCAGAAGACAGAACCCAAAGGCATTTTTAGACGAGCATAATATCATTTACATGTCAAGGAAAGAATGAATTTAAGTTTAACAAGGTAAGACTCAACTGACAAGATCACAAAAAGTGTAGGTCACATCTCAGTCTATGTTGCAACAACCAACCTTCCAACTTTGTTAAAGACTTGATAGAGAGTACTTGCAGGAGCTCCTCAATAGCCTCATCTGACAACTCAACAGACCTCAACTCTTTCTTGATCTCATCAATTGGAATCTTTTCCATCTATTTCCAATAGAAAATAGTAAATAAATTTAGGAGGAGCAAGGATTCAAAAACACAGAATAATCTAGAAGGAAAATAAATAAATAAATAAATTCAAGCTACAAATGGAAAAAGAACTGGATGTCATAATCTTTCTGCAACCAGGCACAACAAAGAATGACTTCCAGAATGTCAACATCCAACTTAACATCGGAGTAACACACAACTCAATACACTTTTGAACTTTCTATTTGACATATAGATCCTAAACTCTAGAGCTTGCTTCTATTTTTACTCTTGGCAGACTTGTCATTCATGGAAGTAAGTTTTGGTTTGTATTGCTCTTAATAGCAAAATGATGAATTTGGAGTATCATCCTCCTAGTTTCTCAGAGAATAAAGTCATGGTTACTTTGCCTTTGGAGATTGAACAATGTGGTATTCATGAGTGGAGAAATTGTTTAGTAGGTTATTTCCTAGATGCAAGGCTTCCCCTCCCTGCTGTTAAGAATATTGCTCTTATAGAATAGTTCTTTCACCCTATATATATTGTTTGTTTTTCAATTGAAGAGGCCTTGCTCGGATTTTCCATTTTTTTTGTATTTTTTGGAAAAACAAGGGCTATTTTCCAGTTTCAGCTTCCAAAGGTATTTCAGTTCATCAATCTTTTTCTCTCAATCGCTAGGGGGCCGACTAACACTATAGACTCTGTATCCATAGGTCTTGAGCAGCGGTGAATTCTTTTTTGGTGGTTTGAGGGTGTTTTGTGCTTCTGGTGGCCTGTTTTGTTGTCTCCTAGTATTCACAGAGCACTGTTTTGTTTCTGGCTGTTTTTTGTCTCTACAGCCTTCTTGTTAGGTGATATTTGTCAAACTACTACCTAATCATGTCAGAAGGAAGTGTGATGCCTCAACCACCAGTCACTGTTGCTCTCCAAACTGTCTCAAATAATCCCACCTTACAGATTACTGCCTTGAGGCTTAATGGCTGTAACTATTTGTCTTGGTCTCAATCAGCGAAGTTATTTATCAAAAGCAGGGGGAAAATGGAATACATGACTGGCAAAGTTGTACAACCAAACGCTGATGATCTCCTTTAAGATCAACGGGATACTGAGAATTCCACGGTTATATCTTGGCTTCTCAACTCTATGGAGCCTGAAATCAGTTGTGATCTGTTTGTTCATGGACACGGCAAAGGAGATTTGGGATGCGGCTGCACAAACTTACTCCAATAAGGGAAATTATACGAGCTGAAGTGTCGAATTCACAATACCAAGCGGCGGGATTCTACTGTTGTCACTTTTTTCCACACCCTTCATGCTTTTTGGAAGGAGTTGGATCATTATTAGACTCTCGAGATGGATTGTACAGCAGATACTTTGAAATTGCAAAAATTGATTGAACAAGATCGGATCATTGAATTTCTCAAAAGGGTTAAATCTTAGTAGGATATTCAACCACCCTAGCTCTAAACTCAGCTTCAAAAAAAAAAAATCCTTAGTGTGATCAAGTATGGATACAAATCTTAGCTGATTCCATCTCTTCAAGCCGTTTTCTCTAATGTTCAGTGCGAGGAGAGCAGACAGGAGGTTATGCTACACCCACAACCCCAAGAGAGTTCACCTCATTTTTCTAAGACTCCTCGCCGGGTGGTAAGAAACCTAAAAGAGTCGATATGGTGATTCTTTCGAGGACAAGGATAAGCTTTATTGTGATGTTTGAAACCGCCCACAGCATGATAGGGAGCATTGTTGGAAACTTCATGGTCGTCCTCCTTTAGGGGGTAGAGGTCATCACACTAGTGGTAGAGGTAGTTCTTGTGCACGTCATACTACTGCTCATCCGTCTACAATTACTAAGTCGGTCCCATTGGTCCCTACTGCAAGTGGCTCCTTGTCACACCCTAATTTTTAATTACTCGGAAACATTACCAAAAACCTTTAATTTCAATCCCTTTTTTTTTTTTTTAAATAAACATCTATTACTCTTGAGTAATAGAAACATAATAACACACGTTCTCTCTCGCAATGAATACAACAATAATAATAATACATGCCAAGCTTCTGCTACGGAGTTGCAAATAAATAATTACAAATATCAATGTACAAAATTCAATTTTTTCACATCTACTATGAAATTACACACAAAAGATACATGAACTTCTTAACCCTCCAACCAATCAATCCGAATTCTCTTTCTGTAAGAAAATGAAACAAGGGATGAGCACAATTGTCTAGTAGGAATCTCATAGTTCCACAACAATAATGAACACATAGATAGAAATGATCATGCATGCAGGGTAATACCATATAGTAAGGTGATGTTTTGTAATTTCAAAATATCATACGTAGAGTACCTTTTTTTCAAAATGAATTTGAACATTTGAGGAAAACCTTCAGTCATAAAAATTATCCCTTATCATCAGGAGACCATAAATCCAAATCCTTTTTGAAAACAAATATGTTTAAGGAACAACATCATTTTAAATTTATTAACCCATTCCGAAATATTCCTCCTTTAATTTCCATCTTAACATTTCTCTTTTTATTTCCGTTTTCCATTTTCCCTTTTCACTAATTACATTTATTATAACACCATAACCTCAAATTCAAGTTCCCTTAATACTCAAAACAGCCCTCATGCACTACCACTGGTCTATTCATATTTGCTATAACTCCTTAACGTAGAAATCCAAATCTCCTTTGTATTCAATAGCAGTTCTCCTACACTCAACTCCTACTTGTCTAAATTTAACATATCACAACTACATCACATCCACATTTGCATTACCAATTATAATTCAACATATCACAAGGATGATAAACCCTTTTAATTCAATTTCTCCATTAATTACAAAACAAAACAAAACTCTTAATCTTTCCTTATGGTTTACAAACAACCCGGTGAATTCATTATCACCAACCCCTTATCCAGTTACTATTTCCTTATCCATTATTTTCAAATAATTTCTATATGCATTCCCCTTCCATACCAAATTACACATCAAATTGTAATTTCATAAATTTATCACAAGTCACACATGAAGCTTGGGTAACCAGCTTAAGGAATGATAGAATATCACCCCCTATTTATAAATGAAGATTTAGGGTTTACAAGAAATGCAATTACAAGATGATCCTTGAGTGCTATCCCTGAGTGCATAAAATGATTACAGACAGACCCTAGTGAACCTTTCGGCTAATATAATATGCTAACACTTAATATAATATGCTAGCACTCCCCCTCAAGCTGGTGCGAAGATATCTCTCATGCCCAGCTTGCCTAATATGTCATGAAATGGTTTATTCCCAATCCCCTTGGTGAGAATGTCAGCAAGTTGTTCACCAGACTGGACAAAGGGAGTACAAATGATACCACTAGTGAGTTTCTCCTTAATGAAGTGGCGCTTAATCTCAACATGTTTTGTCCTGTCATGTTGAACTGGATTGTGAGCGATGTTGATGGCGGCCTTATTATCACAGTATAACCGCATGGAGTCCGTCTGATCAATACCTAGATTACGCAACAATAATTTGATCCATAAAAGTTCACACACACCTTGTGCCATAGCTCTAAACTCAGCTTCTGCGCTTGACCTGGCAACCACATTCTGTTTCTTACTCCTCCAAGTAACTAGGTTGCCGCCAACAAATGTGCAATACCCTGAAGTTGATCTCCTATCAGTTACTGACCCAGCCCAGTCAGCATCTGTATAGGCTTCTACACGAAGATGATCATACTTTGAAAAATACAGACCCTTACCAGGAGCAGACTTCAAATACCTCAAGATTCTCATGACAGCCTCAAAGTGAATCTGATGAGGAGCATGCATAAACTGACTAACTACACTGACAGCAACAGCAATATCAGGACGGGAGTGAGATAGGTAAATAAGCTTACCCACTAATCGTTGATAGCTCACCCTATCCACAACTTCTCCTCCTTCATCATCCCCCAATTTCTGATTGGGTTCCAGGGGGATGGCACATGCCTTGCAGCCAAGCATCCCAGTTTCCACTGACTTGGTACAGAATAGAAAACAAAGAAGAGAGGAAGAAAACGAAGAGACATACGAGGAAGAAAAACGAAGGTAACAGAGGAAGAAAAACGAAGAAGACAGAGTAAAAATGAAGAACAAAAGAAACAAATCAAAGAAAAGAACAAAACGAAAAACGAAGAACGAAGAACAAGTTAGGGCTCTCTCTCTCTCCCCGACGGGTTAGGGCTTCGATCCACCCCTTTATTTTCCAAGCTTTATCTTATCTTGTTACAGATTGTCCAAACGTGTCTTGGTGTGTCAAAAACGTGTCCGGCTGGAAAAATTTTAAAAAAAAACATGGGACATGTCTAGTAGTGTCCAACGCGTGTCGGACACTTGTACGCTGTCTCCGGCAAGGTGTCCATGCTTCCTAGGATTGGGTATCCACAGGCTTGCTCTCGACAATCATGTCTATCTTGGGAAATGGTTGTGAAGGTATGCTATGAAAGGGAGATGTATTGAAAAGGGTGGTGGAAAGGAATTTGTAAGGGCTGGAAGCTTTCTCTTACTATAATATATTTAGTAATAGAGAGTACAAGTTTTGGAGCAATTGTCAGTGTGGGAGAGAGCTGGCTTTCCCTAATATTTACTAGGCCATTATTAATATTTCATGGGCTGCTAGATGAGTTCCTTTGGTGCCTCTAACTTAACAAAATGTTTTACTTACCAACACGCACGGGCGTGCGTGCACACACACACACACACCAAAAAGAAAATAGAAGTCGGGAGTGATCGGGCCCTATTTGGACTTACATAGTCGACTTTGTGCCAATAAAAGTCTTAAGTTTATATTTGGGTTTGGAATGTTGCAGTCAATTTTATTTATGATTTAAAAAGTTGTAAAAGTCAGGGATATTTTGGTAATTTTACCTTTAAAAGAATATTTTAGTAATTTCAAAATTTCCATATGTGGACTATAAGGATTGCCCATAGGTCATATGGATAAAGTAACGTCATTAGTGAAGCTTGGGTAACCAGCTT